TTATAGAAGTGAACAACTTTTGGACGGCGAGGGAAGCTCTGGCACAATGGGTTACTAGCATGCTTTGCACTTTAGAAATGCCGAGTTTAAATCTCACACAGGGCGTAAACTTTCATAATAACTAATAACATTCTTAAACAATGTGTTCTTCATCTGCGAATAGTTAAGACAGCATCGTGCTTCGGTGTGGTCATGCCAAAGCGTGTGATAAATATGTTTATACTGCTGATGCGCGTGAATCTTAGGGCTGCAATTCGCCTTAGACTGACTGACGCCTTAATAGCTGACTGAAAATCAGCACAAAGTATAAAGGTAAACTAAGAACAAATTATGTTAATCGTAATAAGTATTTTCGACGAACACTGTCAAACAGATTTTAATCAAGCTTGTCTTGAATCGCCAGTCCAATTATCGTATTATCATACAGTTCATAGAAACATGGCAAATATAATAATAATATTAATAACAACGTAATGACCACTATCCATTTAATTAATTACTGAGCAACAGTCCTGATCAACGCCGAAGCGAATCTCGTGCTTGATCACACGAGATACTTTATACAGAATCACAGCCAAAAATATTCTTTGGTCAGCGGAAAGCTTAAGCCGGAAGGCAGCCTCATACCCTCGACACCTGGGTAGCAGTACCTTAAAAGAGTGTGGTTAACAGACAGTTTTATGAACAAGAACAGAACGACTGCGTAGAAAAATTCTCCGTCTGTATCTTCCCAGTGAGTACAGTGATATCGTTACCGGTTATGATATTATGTTGGATTACCTTCGACTCATTCTGTTCCATGTAGTCTCCCGCATTATCGAGCTTGCGGCCATTTCCACCTACTGATTGTCCATCTCTTGACCGATGCCCCTCTGCGATACCGGATGAGAACGGAGGATGATTGGGCACCGTGGAGTCTCCCGTAAAACAGCCAGCTGTCTCTCATAGTATTGTCGTCAACGACCTCTGTACCGGTTAGGTCATCGCTCTGGTTACCGAGGGTCGCGCGCGCAGGCTGTGGGGGATCTGAGACAGACTGCGGCTCTTTGCGTTCTGGCGACAGGGGCCGTTTCAGCAAGGCGACGGCTGCCGAAAATCGACAACAAGGATTCAACTCAGCAAAGGAACCACTATTCGTTCTCAATAGATGATGGTAATGCCATTATAGTCCGTCAAATAAGGCTCCACGGGAAAGACATCGACTGTTAGAGATCACAGTCATAAACTGGAACATCTTCTAACTCACAGGAAAACACTATGATGGAGATGATAAGGCCATAGGGTTTCCACTGGACAGACTCATGTCAGAGCTCTGGAATTATGAATATCTGCTGGTGGAAGTTATTCTATTCAGGTGTCGACATCACGACGCGCGCTCAGGCCGGTGTTATTGTTCTGGTAGAACCCAACCTCGCTGATAGAATCATTGAATGGAAGCCTGTCAGCGAAGGTTACAACAGACTAAAGCGTTGACCTTGCTACAGGTATAGGCGCGTCCTTCCTTGAGGAAGTGGAATGTAGCCTGTACGATGCAACTCATTCTAATGAGTGATTTTAATGAACATGTCAGAGCAGATACTGAAAAGTGGAAAGACCTAACTGGAAAGAATGGCCTTAGTAAACT